GTTTGTGCATCTGATTTCCGAACAATCAGTCACTGGTTCAAACCAACTCTAATTGCAGAGAGTTTAGAGAAGTAACGAGTAGTGCCGGTTCCAGCATGAGAATTGGACTACTCGTCATGAAATGAGTAAAAACTGGCCCAACAACCAGGATAAAATCAAATCAAACAGCTTAAAAAAAGAAGATTGCAAGTACTTAATTATAGCCTATTAGTCTCACCTGCTCATAAGCATATGAAAAGGTTATAAACTTCTCAGTAGTTTATTTCTCCTCGCACTTAAATGTAATTGATGGAGAACTTACAGGCAATTATTCACAGGATGAAAATAAATGAGTACATAATATAGTATAGAGAAAATTTTAAAGCATAAAAAATAATAATAAACCGTTAGTTAATCAATAATCACATACACATCTATAGACATTAGGGTGTTAACAGAAACTATTTTATGCAATGTTTACTGTGAAATGATAAATGGCCTGGAGTAAAGTTTCAAACAATTATCTCTACAGTTAATCGATTGAGTACCGACGTAACTAACTAGGTTACAACTCTACATATAATTATTAGTTAAATAACATTTTTAAAATGTCCAACACTTAACATGTAAAGTAGGCTTATAACCAGTGCATAAAATGGGAAACATCATGCTGCAGTACGAGTTGTGTATATACTACAACTATATTGTTTTAACCAAATAAGCATGAGACTACACAAATTTATAGACAATCTCCTTGATTTTCCTGGATTAATGATGAGTAGTTTTACCTGATTCTCAGCTATTACATAGTGTTGAAATACACTCGTCTACACAGTATTGCTGATGGTATCAATTAAGCAGAACACACAAAGGAAACTTAGTTGAAATCTTGTTGCAGCTTTACCATATGAAGTACTCAAACTCCTACAAATCTCAGATGGTTAGCGGACCTAGGATGAGGCTTTGTGCTTATTGGCATTTCGTCACGAAGTCCAATCTGCACATTTTTTCGCATTCAAAACGCGCCGTGTCAGTAAAACATGAATTAGGATGCTGATTAATGAAGTAACACTGCTTAATAGTTATTTCAGAAAATTTCAGCAGAAAGCCAAAGCTACTACTTTCCCAAGTAGTTATCACGCCAACACTGCTTATTCCTTCCCATTTCTTGTTTACCGCCATTTATAATCTTACGGGATGGTAATTACCTCACTGAATCATCATAATGATAATAATAATTCATACATTTGGTTGCCTTGATAAATTTTGATAGAGAAAGAAAGACCAGATTTGCAGTATAAAATAATATCATTCTATTTCACAGGTTCTCATCAGCTGCAAACCACTTCATTGTTTGAAAGGTAATAGAGAAGACATTATAAGGTGAACGCATCTGGAATGTAAGTATTATAATCTAAGTCACCGTCAATTTATATACTGTCAAACTATGAAAGAAGAAAAAAGGGGAGGGGTGAGAGAAGACAGAAAACAGAAAAATCTAATAAACAGTGTAAACATGGCCACTCAAGAAGGTCAAAGTTCATCAATTTGAAAACTTGCTTAGTGAGTTGAGCTCCCTAGTGTGTATGACTAATCAGTGTAATGAAAGTGATATGGTTACAAAGGGAGTGAGAGATTGACCACACTCTGTTTCTGTAGGCATAAGTTTGGTCTGTGACGTTTGATTGCAATTGCTTCAGCAAATCGTAGTAGATTCGCTGTCCTTTGTATGTTTAATATTTTGAAGGATTTGGAAATCTCGACAAAATGACCCATATCCACAAGGTGTCTGGTAATTGCACTTTGTAAATATCTGCTTCCTTTTAGGCATAAGTTTCTTGGAATATGCTCTGAAAACCGGATAGAAGCCCTTCTTTCTGTCCTTCCAATGTACTTTCTGCCGCAGGTACATGCAAATTTATAAATGCAAGTTGGAGGTAACATCAGCAGGGTACTTATCCAGTTTCGATTGCCTTATAGAGCATGTAGTACTGTATAGTGTCACCAAATTGGCTGCAGGGAAACGTCTCTAGATTGCTCCCTTCATCGTCTTTTCAATCTTTTGCGATACTGTTTCTCCTTTGTATGGGAGGCAAATGAACACTTTCTTCTTCTCAACTGTTGGAGACTTTTCTTTCTCATCTCTTTCTTTGCTGTGCTTTAGGATAAATCCTTTTGGATGCTCGTTTTCCTTAAGGCATTTTTCAACAAAGCTTAATTCTTCTTCTACCTTGTAAGGCGAACATAACTTCCTGGCCCTCATTACACTGATTATTCATACACACAAGTGAGCTCAATTCACTAAGCAAGTTTTCAAATTGATGAACTTTGACCTTCTTGAGTGGCCATGTTTACACTGTTTATTAGATTTTTCTGTTTTCTGTCTTCTCTCACCCCTCCCCTTTTTTCTTCTTTCATAGTTTGACAGTATATAAATTGACGGTGACTTAGATTATAATACTTACATTCCAGATGCGTTCACCTTATAATGTCTTCTCTATTACCTTTCAAACAATGAAGTGGTTTGCAGCTGATGAGAACCTGTGAAATAGAATGATATTATTTTATACTGCAAATCTGGTCTTTCTTTCTCTTTCAAAATAATAATTCAGTGACAATTACTCAAAGTTCAGATGACAAACACGGATTGACAGCAACAGTGTATCCAATCATTTTGCTGGTTGCATTTGTTTCATGGTTTCTCTAGTTTCTGAGACTTTACTGCCTGAATCGACAAATAATTCCTTTAAATGTCTATGGGATGATCATGAACTTCCTACACCATTATCTGGATTCTATCTTCCCAATAACGTCGAAACGTATGTTTTCTAATAGTCAAGGGTTGCTTTAGATAAGACTGCTATGGAATGCTTTTCCCTTGATCCCTAGTCTTGTGATAAAAGGTTATATGTTGATCATTTAGAGACAGAAGTCCAGTTTGAAAATCTGCTTGTTTACAAGCACATAATTTAATACCGTCCCCCAAGTGTCAGTTAGAGAGATTGAAGAGTATCATTGTTGACTGTTGTTGTTACCAGTACAATAATGCCAAGTTTGAAATGAAAATTATGAGTTACTGCTAAAATATACTATGGATGTTCACTTTGTATTTAACAAGGAGTTTTACTGACAAGTAGATGGAACTGCTATTGTTTACCCCCCCCCCACCCCTTAGGTCCCTTATTAGCCAAAATCTTAGCAAAATTAGAAGATGGTCTTCTGAGAGAGATGTTAAACAAACTTAAATATCGTTGTCGTTATTTTTTATTTTTTTTATTTTTGATTTACAGCTTGATTCCACACTGTATTTTTGGTACAAGTATGGAATTTTCAGCATGGATATCGGTAGCCCAAATTTTGCAGGCCAACCATAGATATCAGGTGTGCGCCGGCGTGGGCTCGAACCCCGGACCATGTGGATGGTCGGCGAGAGTCCTAACCCCTGTGCCACCGACAACGTGTTGATCGTTTGCGATAAGAATTTGAATAAGCAGCAACTGATGTAAGTCTTCAATAATGTGCATCCAGCAGTTAAATTAAGCGACGTAGAACGGACAATATATCCATTTCCATGGTCCCATACAAATACAGAATATAACGAAATTTAATTCATTGTCTTAGTCATAGAATTAGGCGCATTTGCACCGACAATAGTATTGAAGAAGAAATCGAAAATCTTAAAAGTACCCTGCTACAAAAATGATTATCCTACCAATTTTGTACAGTAACAGAGGTGATAAAATTAAGCGGAATGCAGTGAGTAAGTAAAAGCTTTATTTATGAGTGCAGTTCAAAAGCGATATGTCCAGTGATATATTACGCCGCAGGTTGATCAGATCAATCGAAAGAACTATCAATGCTGAAGAAATACACATCAATACATTAAAGATAAATTACTAATGATGGCCACGACAATGTCTGTATACAAATTTAGCTACTTCTGAGGAGCTAGTTATATAGTTTGTAGTTACAGGAATTTGTCTTGACGCAATCATGAACATGTTCCCGTTGGGCTGGGAAAGGAATAACCCAGTTAATAATAAATAGTGCATTTTTATGTCAACTAGTGGATGGTGAAAGGTGCATCAAAATAGATGAGTCACTTGCGTTTGTGTGTCGAGTACCAAACAATCTACCTAAAGACATACAATTACATCTCCTAGACGAATTCGAAGCTATAAACAATGAAAAGAAATAACCAGATCTGTAAGTGTTAAAGCAGTACACATCCTCTTTATGTACCCTGGTCAGTTGTAAGGTCATCAGGTACACAATCGCCTCATAATTTCACGTCTTAGTATGTTCTTCTTATTCGTTAACCTTTGTGATCTACACTAAACTTATCATGTCTATGGTATTTGATTACAGTTCATAATTTAACCTCTTTATTTAATCACTACGTCTGTTATCTGTCAGCTCTCTCGGTGTGCCTCATTTGTTTGTATGCATTTTGTGGTATTCATATTTCTCTCGCACCACTGAATATAACTCGCAGCTGTACTCCAAAAGAAACCTATATTGTGTTAACTACAAATAAATTAGTATGTCTCTCGATTGCCTTATTTGCATTTTATCCTGTTTTCTGAATGACTTTACATCCCATGTACATGCAATTGAAAATGTTAACTAACAGACTATTATTCCATCATACACATCTACACCAATGCAGTTTCTGACATAATTTTCATGTCCCTGAACAAAATTTCAGTATTACATAAGTCATGGACATGTAAAGAAGTTATAGAAAACAATTTTTCCCTGAGAAATCATCTTGTTCCGACTAACACTACAGTGATATTTTATTTACTGAAATAGAAGAATACTTACGTTGACTGCAAGTTCATCTGTTTTAGTAACCAAATTGTTTAACCGATCACCGCGTTGTAGTGCCAATCGAGTATTTTCCTGCATTACAGCTGTTACAGTATTTACATTACTGCGTAATTGATCTAATGAACCGTTTCCTTTGAATAAACCGAATCGGGACTATAATAAAGAATATTGAAATGTCATCTTAATGGCAATGAAATTAACACATTTTAACTGTCTAAAAATGACGGCATATGTTAAATCTAAAATACACGAATTTATAAAGTAACACTTTTATGCGTCAAATTGTTTATTTGAAAATCTTACCAAAGGAGTGCATAGACAATTTGGTTGCACTACCATGGAGTTGAATATCTTACAAGAACCGGGCAAAACACGCAGAATCTCAATTATTTTGTACTGAACCTTCAGATGTGAAACATTTTCTGTTACCGATTTCTAGAAATATCACCTGTGATTGTTGATAAAAAAAATTGAATCATTCGGATATCGAACTAGCCGGTCCAGCAAAAGAGTTGAATCGGTTAGCGGGGTTGGGAATTCGATGACAAACACAAAGGTAACACATTAGGTATGCGCAGAAAGTTTCCCGATGGTTGTATTACGAAACAGCTTTACGAAATTTAGGTGGTACAAAACTGTTAGCACTTCAGCAGCCAGGTATTCGAGGACGGCTGTCAAGTTGACGAGGGCTCCAGCACCAACGCGTTCAGCGTAGTTCCCCATGCTCAACAGACGATGGACACAACTAACTGGGAACTGACAACCAGTGCAAGACTTTCCACACTTACCGCGACCATCCATGATTGAACGTCAGAGCAGACATACGTGTTAGGTGACACAGGATCAGGTTGAAAAAGAGCTAGTGGTGGTCGTACCAAAACATGGCCTCATCTGTCAATCAAATTCACAACAGTTAGTTTAAGCCAGCCACGTAGGGAGGTGTAGATTTCCTGGTTGGGGTACTCGGGATGGTATAATCCAATAGCTGGAAACATTTGATGATATGGCTCAAAATCGTTCTCAATAGCGCAGATGCCTTCACTCTTTCTGGTTTATATTGTCTAACTTAACTATATTGTTCCTTCATATTACTATTCTTTTTGCCTCACATTTCTGTTTATTATTAATGTCTTCTCTTGCTTTGTGTGCTATATGGCGTGTGGCAACTCAAACTGCTGTAGATCTGTGCAAAGTTCTACGTTGAAATCAGTCAGTCGGTCACCTTTAGTACAAAAGCAATGATATAACTCATAATCAACAGTTGTCGTGAGAATAAATCTTTTTAGTTCTCTTTGATCAATAAAATCTATCTGTCTTTTTGTGTTTATTATCTCAAACCCCCCTCCCCAAGTTTTTCATTATTCATATTTAGACCAACATTTTATGAGATTTTTTATCCCCTTGACTTTTTCTTGGTATGTTGTTGGAAGTCAAAAAATCACGCAGATTATTGACTGGACTTGGTATAACCTATTGCTGTGTTTAGAACTTATCTATTCAACATAACTATTGTCCATTAAGCTAAAACTCTCCGATAACTTTCGAAAAGTACACATTTCTGTTCTATATTATATAAGTTTATTTAATATAACACATAGTGATACAGCATTAATGACTGGATGACGTTTCGAATACACTTTATTGCGCATTATCACATCTTATTTCTTGACATACATAAAGGTGATTACGTAATGTTATATTATATATATATATATATTATATTTTTATGATTAATTATAATCCGAATAAATCTGCTGAAGAAGCTGTGGCTTACACGGCGAAACGTTCGGAAAAATCTTGTTTTGATTTTCTTAACACGCTGGGATTAATTTAAATAATTTATAATGAATCAATCTGACTCGGCGCTCAAATTATTCCCGGAAATTCGTAACACCTACGGTCTGGAAACCTATTACGTAATGTTATGTTTACTTAAGAATAAGTATTCTCAGAGTTTAATTTTTTGACGATACACGTACAGTAATCCACAATTTATATTATCAAAAACAATTCAGGTACAAGATATTCATCACGGTCATCACTATCGAGATGAGGACGCTTGCAAAAATCGAACACACCAATTAAGAAATCTTTTGTCTTTAATTCACAAAATAAAACTATAAAAAAAATTGATAGATCGATTAAGTGAACTAGAAAACACTTAAAATAAAAACATTTGTTCTTAATATGCAGTAAGCGTACACTTAAAAGACTAAGATTTAGAAAAAGTGAGAACTAAAACAGTAATATGACTATTAAAATAATCTTCAGAAAAAGATAAACATTTTTCATATCTTCTTTCGAATATATATATATACGACTACAAAGGATTCAGAAATGCAAGATGATGTCGTTTAACGCTGACGACTACAAACTATTAATTACACATCAGAAATGATATCTTACACACAGTTTATTGGTTACAATAAATCGGTGTTAATACTAGAAACTGATTGAAGGGCATTTTATTAATTAAGATGTTACATTCATTATATCTAAGCAGTATGAATTATACGCATACTGATATTGTGAACAAGGACAAAGCAAGGCAGACTTCACAGTGTAGATCATTGTTGATATTTGCTGTGTAGAAAAAAAAAATGTTTGCCCTATATGCTTAACGTTTGGCATCAAGACTAAAGATCTGAAGTGTCTTATAAAAGGCCAATGTTGGGGATGAGATATTTTAGTGAAAAAGTCTTCGATATCAAAGTTAACTAAATCGGTTTATAACCTTAAATGGAATGTCTATTTCCCCAACATTTTAGACTTATCCAGTCGATGTTAGCAATGAAGAAAGCTGTCACAGACAACTTCCAGTTAACATACTCCTAGAGTTTAATATAAATCACAGTAAAGTGCAACGTTATTTTATTCAACTTAATTACCGTAATACAATTTTAATCGATACATTTTGAGAGACACAATAGTATTATGAACACAGTATGATTAATCTAATAAGTGGACTAAAATGAAATTGTACCATAGTACCCTACTCTTACTCTTATAACACAATTGCTGTGCAAAATTCAACACATGAAGATTAATTATATTCAGTACGTAGACAAAACAGTATGAAATAGTACTTGCAAAGCTGCAAGAAATTAATTAACCACACAGTTGAAATGATAACGTGTAATATGTTATGCTAAGTGCCTGCACAATTTTGCCAGTGCTTCAAACAAGGAAATCGTGAAAATTAAACAGTGAGACAAGTGGTAAACAATGATTAGCTTTAATCACTCCACATGTACATTGACGGTAATTGTCAGCCAAAATACCAGGAAGTATTTATGTTCAATGTTTTTGGTCGTTTTAGAAACATGATAATCAAAACACTACAATCAACCTCGTGCAGTCATGACTAAGATATGTATTACGTATGCAGTACTAGTGCCTTTTTAGATGAGTCATGTTAGCTGAAGTAGAAGTATGTTGGAAGAGAGTTAAAGAAGCTCAGATGAAAATATTACATCAACCCAACATATATGCAGGAGAAAGTGGAGATGAATTGGACAATCGCTGAGGAGACCGCTGGGTGACATTGCGAGTCAGGCCATCGCTCGAGTGGAACCCGAAAGGGAAGCGGCGAGTGGGACGTCAGTGCAAGGGTGACATGGAGGAGATCGTGTGAAGAGGAGTTGAAAGAGTATGGACTAACATGGATGAAGGTGAAAAGTACAGCAGAAGACTGAAGCCCTACGTTCCACTAGGAACCCAAGGGAATAATAATAATAATTATGACTGCTCACTGCAGTAACTGCTCACTTATGCTTGTCTGGCCTGTATGGAAATGGTGGCTCACTGAGTTAAGCACTGGCCCTCCAGTGTCAACTAGTATTTCGTGGCAATCATTAATATAAGAAGAGGACTTGGGCACTTGTGACTATGAGTACATTTTACTGTATAACACTGAGACTATCAAAATAAAATTTCTCTATAATGGAATTTAGTGGCAATCACTGTAAAGAAAAAACTATATATTTTTTAAACTTAAATCCACAATTTACGTGAGATAGGCTGCTATTCACAAACGTGAAGACAGCTGAATATATATATATATATATATGAGAGGGTTAAAACGACACTATAACTGGGAACAATCGATTGCCTTGATATCATTTTTACTATTATAAGTATTTGATATCATCATCAAGATGCCTGTAAGAGTGTGATCTGAAATGCTGAAAGAGAAGCTAACTCATTGATTAGAAGCAATCTATTACTAGACATGATCTCATTACATATTCCTCTGATCAAACAGCTAAAACAATTTCTGCGACCACATCTCAAGTCTACACAAGCTATATAATTCCTCCTTTATCACTAGTCATATATCTACATGGAGTAGATGAGCAGTACTTAGGAGCAACAAGACTGATCTTTGCTACCTTTTAACTTGTTCGAAACCAATGCTACCCCAGTTGCTATTCATTAGAAACAACTACTTTAGGGTGGGACAAAACAGCGAATAAAGTTGTCTAGGATGAGTGCCCAGGTAGACGTACAATAATACGCCTGGTGTATCTGCGTACCGACTAGTCACATTCTACCTCAACCCACGAGAGTCTTTACAGTGTGAATGCCGGCTGTCAAGAAAGAAACAATACGAATATAAACTTAATTTATGATATTCTACATTTCCAACTACCATTAATTATTTTCTGACATATTTAGATTTTTTAGTAAATCAAAACTAGAAGGCACATTTTCTTCCACAAACTTTGAGGTTCTAGTTTTGTAGTTAATCTAAACTATGTAAAAAGGTATTTGATTATTCGTCTTTCTGATTTATGTTTTATACTGATGGAAACACTGGGTAATCAAACCAAGCATCGAACTCACCATTTCATACAGTACGAAAATTAAGCTACATGAAGTTAGTCATCGAGTGTTTTAACTGTTTTACTTGTGTGAAGAGTTACTCTGGTCCTAATGAACTGATTGTCAGTAAAACCTCAGTATGGATATACAAAACTGTGTCATCCTTGGCAGAACTAAGATACTTAACTGTGTAGCAATGCATTCAGATTAAAAGTCAGCAGGAGTTCTAGTAGGCTTCTGATTATTATTCATAGCTTTGCAAATAGTACTGACTACCAGGTTCGAGCATTTGTGTTGTTGTTACTGTATGACAAGAAACAGAATCGATGACACCTTTATTAACTTTCAGGTTTCAGATATTTCCTATTGACCTTTAACTATTATTCCTATTCTTAAATCCTTTTAGCTTAACATCTTATTGGTTTACATTCTCTTATTGTGTCGAATTAAAGTAATACGCTTCTTTACAAGGTGTTTCCTGATTATCTGTTCCCCTAAAGTAGCAGTCTACGTTCGACAAACGGTTCAAATAAAATAAAAGTGGATGCATGTCGTCAGTGGTGTGACAACTTGCGCTGCCATGCAATAATGCAAAGTAGTATATTGACAATGACTGGCTGTTACGTGGATGAAAAACGACTTCAAGAAGAAATTTTTGAAAGTAAAATGGACTTAATTTACAAGTCAAATAGTAGATTAGATCGCAAAATAACCACAATGTAGCAGGAAGACTTACCATGTGTTGTTGCAGGGTCGGGCCATAAGAGTATTGTAAGCATCCTTCAGGACCACTTTTAGCCTTCTGGAGTCTCGTGCCATCACTGCAGAAATCTTGCGAAATCTGAAAAATAAGTACCGTGCTGTCAAGAAACAGGAGACAAAATGTTTACCAATCTCTTATGATTTTATTCAGACATTATCGATGCTACGTTAAGACTATGACTTACCCTTCTGATTTGGATGGGTTTAAACTGCAGGAAAAATGTCATCAGTGACGTCATACAAGGCAAGACAACTAGACTGACTTGAAGACATCTTCATCAGCTGTTCTGGACTATTAACTTAACATAGAACACTAGTATCACTTAATCTCGAGCATACTGAAACATCAGGTAAAACGTTATCAAGCACTAGCCTTAAATGTACTAAGCATAATGAAGTTTGACAGTGACTTAGATCGTTGATAACTGCTACTCTTACAGGGACTTATTCTGAATGTTGACCGGTACACATTTATAAAAGGTTGGAAGTAGAATCCGTATAGTAAAAAAATCTTCAATTCGATACATGTAAACCGAACTGAATTTTCAATAAAAATCAATCAATGCAAGCGGTATAAAAAGTTAAAAATCCTAGTATTCTAATAACGACCCAAGCGGCTGCAATCAAGATAATGGAACAAGAATTACAAAAAAAAATAATAAGCATTAAAATTCTTAATTCTTCATATAAACTGTGAGTGTCACACAGTTATTTTTTTAATAATTCACTGATGAGCTCACCGTATTAAGCCGTACATTGTTGACTGTGAAACACATTACTACTTAAAATAGCTTGCTACAGCTTATGCGTCGGTGGCATAGCGGTTAGGACACCCGCCGACCATGCACATGGTCCAGAGTTCGATCCCCGGTCGACGCACTTCTCTACCTCGCTAAGCCAGAAATAATCGTGGTAAAAAGGAAAGGTTGGGTATGAGGCTAGCAACCCCATCCTGTAAAATAAACACTACTACAGAAACTTCAAGCCTCTAGCTTGAGGCCCTATGTTCCACTGGGGAACGTGAAGGAAAGAAAAAACAGCTTATTCTAACCCTTCAATGCAGCACAATATCGGAGAATATTACATTCTCGATAGCCACATACAATTTTTTTTCCTTCACGTTCCCAGTGGAACATAGGGCCTCAAGCTAGTGGCTTGAAGTTTCTGTAGCAGTGTTTATTTTACAGGATGGGGTTGCTAGCTTCATGCCCAACCTTTCTTCTTTACCAGCATTATTTTTGGCTTGGTGAGGTAAAGGACTGCGTCGGCCGGGAATCGAACTCTGGACCATGTGCATGGTCGGCGAGCATCCTAACCGCTATGCCACCGACGCACTACATACAAGTTTAACTAACCTGAAGTTGGCGTTCAATTTAGTAAGTCAACAGGTTTTATAGTATACCTAATTAGCCAGTCACTGACTTGGTTTCAATATAGAACTTAGCAGCGGTTCAAGTAGGCATACTCTATATAGCACACGAAGGTAGAGAAAGGGGATAAAAACAAGGTTTAGAAGAACTATAATGAGTAGGAATGTACAGCAGAAACAACATCAACATAGAGGAAAATGAGGATCTAATGGATATGGGAGGTCACACGAAGTTAATGTGCCACTGAAAACAACTTGGAGACATAAGACCAACAGTCTCCAAATATTGGTTCTTAGCATCCTGAGGATCCCGACGAAATAGTCTGCACCGTCCCACGTTAGCCAGTTACTACTTTGCTTCGACGAGCTTTACATAAAAACCACACTTCACCTAATGCGACCCTAACAATCATATATTGTTTCAATAATATACGAGGTGAACAATGATTAAGGATGTCAATGAGCGTAAATCACGTTATAACTTTGTGGGTTTTTGGTAAACAGGTCATCTGATACTGCTAGAAGGATAGTTTCTACTATTACCACAAAACCTGCATTACAATAGGCCTGAATAGCGTAATCTAATTCCATTTTACGGAAGTGGCCACATTTGATATTAATGGCTGGTGACACCAACGCGTATATCTCTTAAAGAATTAAGCTAACTGGCTTCCTGCCAATGGGCTGCGGGTCGGAGTCTCACTTCACCCACTTCAGCCTGTGCCACTGGGAGTTTTATCAACCTACACGACGTACGGCTCATCCTGGTACATGGAAAATCTGTGCCGGGTAACTGAGTTTGTTTGAGAGAACTTTTCACTAAGCGATCTTCCATCTAATTTCATATACACATGAAAAAATTTAGTTAAGCGAGGATACTAAAAGTACGCGGTTTTTCTTGTCTGAAGCAACATGAATTTGTTCAAAGTATACGAGGGAAGAAATAGCAGTGGAACTGCATTTCCACGACATATTACATAGAAACAGTACCGATGGAAGCCCCTGGAACTATGATATGAAGTAAACGAAATGGATAAGGTGTAAGCTCATGTAAGATAATACTTTCACAGCATCACAGAAAACTAAGTGAATGATGGAAGTGTAACAATTCAGTGCGTTGACCACTTATTTGAAAATTCACACTAGACCAGTTGTTGTAGTGAATTTTGGAAAGCATGTCGTAGTCATGCCCCATAACATTGTTGAGACTTTCCAACCACAATTTCGTATCTTCCTCCTAGATGTTTTGATTAGATGACATTAGACAAAATATAAAATAGAGTGGTTGCGGATACGGACAACCAGGAATGTCCGTCAAACAACATAAATATGACGTTAGGTTTAATTACGAAAAAGTAAGGGTGAACAGACTAATGTCAATTATTTAGGTTTCTTCTATTCTGAGCTAATGATGAAAGATGGACTAAAACTCAAACATACCACAGACTGTAGATATCTCCTGCTATTCGGAAAGTAACTGAGGATTGATGAGTGCATGATAACAAGTAAATCTAAAAGAGAAGTTGAAGTTCGATACTAGGCAACAAGATTTTTCAGTTTTAGTCAAGCAAAAAGTAACATCTGTAGAAACCTCAGTAGTAGATACTCCACCCAGTGCTCTGGTTCTTAATCAGTAAATTACATGTTAAGTCTATAATCAGAACTTAAGTCTGCACAAAAGGAAATCTTTATATCGTAGTATATTACGGACAAGAAATTTAACAGATACATGCACATATGAACGCCGTGTTCATTCCCACGTCAAAATAAAAGGTTTAAATAGGTCCACTGTAACATTGGGATTTTAGCCGCAGTGACAGAAATATACAGTGTTAGAATAAGAAATACACAAAATTAAACAAGAATTATTAAGTGGACTGACCTCAACAACCAAGTTTCGTGATTGTTGTCGTGAGGCGACTTGATCAGTTGCAGCGATAAACGAAAGCCCTGAGACAGTAATGCAATGGAATGATACGCTGCAAAATTAAAAATTTCGAAAGACTTACTCGCCTTGGCTAAAACATATATCTTGTTCAGGAGGATTTCTTCCTAAGTAATCACGGACCACATTTTCATAGTTCCTATTAGCTATTGAATGGTGGCAAAGAATGCTCTTTTCGTTGGAAATCGCACAGTAATACAGGCTCATATTGTGTATATGAAAGGTTAGTAGAATTCACACATTTCAAAGTGCGCTCTCAGAATACGGCGCGCAGACAGATTTCGGGAACCAATTGATACACCATAACAATAATCAACATTCGTTAAAATCTGTAACAACTGACTGCTTGTGGAGAATTCACCATTCTTCCTCGATGGGAAAACTCATTTTGAAGATGTAATTCGATACTCTGCTGAATTTATTCTTACAGGTGACGTCTAGTGAACTCCACACTACATACTATTTGTAATAACTAATTTCACTTGTTTTATCTCTACAGTTTTCTAAATACTTCAGTTTCGTTAAAGTGTTGGATTTCAACCCGGAGTTTGGCTAATATTTGATCGACTGCAAGGTTTTAATACATTTCACATAGCAGAAATCTAACATACTCTTTCCTCCCATTCACACAAACCTAAAATTGTGAATAGTGTTTTGTCCTATAAAAGCATTTGCTTGTTTCTAACTTCCAACACAAATAGAAATTTGAGGCCCGTTTATAATATTTTGCTGGAAGAAGTCTCGATTATCCGAAACGTCTGTACGATAAAATCTATTCCCTCAAAATTCTTAAGTGAAACGACTATTGGTGTTTGTTTTTGACAACATTTAAATGCTAAAAAATTTCCTTCAGCTGTGAATGGCTAACGAAAACTGTTATTGTTATTCGTAGTATTTGGTAAGTTTCGATTGATTTAGAAAGTGAAAACACCCAAAAATGACGACTAATGTTCTTGCGACTGTCCTCAAAAGGAAACTGGTGCTGGTTCAAACGCATCTGAAAGTGTGAAACGAAATTCCGCAAACCGCGAATGACACTATTTTATAAGCTCAAAACACTACCATGAAAGATTCACGGCTTTGATGATCATAATGCATAAATATGATCATTAGGTCACCGAAAAAATCTGTGATGACCGTTATATTCTCCACTGTGCCACTTAACGATACACTCAAATTTTCTGTCAGAACCGATAACCCATTAACCTAAATGTGAATGAATAAAAGTTTTTGGCCGTAGTTACTGAGCTTCTTATCCTCAGGCCACGGGAGATTCAGCGATGGATGGTATACAGGTAATTTTAGCATTGATGAATTATAAGTTGCCACTCAGTCGCTATATTTTCTTTAATGATCCTAGTTGACATATTCTTCCTACAAAAACTTCGTATGTTTATTTCCGGACTCATTTTTGGGGTTTTTTGGCGTGAGAGGTAGATTCAGTGACATGTGAAACTTAAGGAAGAAAATGAATATTTTGTACCAGTGAGATTTAAGTTAGAAAAAATTAAACCAGGACGCAATATGTTTAGATTAAGTATCCATGTACTTAAGGCTCGTGTAAATATAAATTATGTGACTATGTGCTGGAAAATCATCAGTGGCAGTATCACATTTGACTCTTACTAGATTGGTTCTAATTCACAAATTCGGAAAGCTCCAAGTTCGTCCTTGTTATCTTGAACAAGGCAGGGTGCATAGCATGCTGTAAAAGTAGCTGATGACACTGAAAACAAAAATATATTGTGTGAAGAGTTCTATGAGATACTGTCGAAGATGATGCAGTTATAACTTACGCAACAGTGGTGGTATTTCAGCCGACCAGTTAAACCAAAAGGGTCACTTTATGGTCTGTGTATGTAACCAATTTGTTCGCTTTAATGACCACTAGATATCTTTAGGTAGGTATCTTTACATATCTGATTGCATCCATAAATGCTCACTGAGCATACGGCTGATGCATATATATATTACATTGGTCAGTCTACTGACACCTTGAGGATGATAAATGCTAACACCACACAAATTATTCCTTTAAACTTCATAATTAGAACTCTTCGTGTTATGCTTTTTGTTTATTAATACAAATGTTGAAAGTATTGCCATCCCAACGGCAGCAATTATGACTGATTGGCAATAAGTAAATAATAGTCTGAAGTTCCTAAAAGTGCTTGTTTATACAGTGGAAAATACCGATGGTGGTTAGCAATTAAAGAATGGTTTGCAAATAAGCACTACTTTACTACTGAAGGCCCGTCATTATGAATGGAGGATAAATATACGATACAGTAAATAAAACAACTGCGGTCGCATTTCCTATTCAGCGTGTTGAATTACATTATGGTGTCGCCTATTCATCACAGGTCATGCAAGCAGAAAATAAATTCTTAATGAATTATTTCAACATGGAAACTACTGTTCCTCATTAGGTAATTGTCATGTCCTGCTCCCATCTGACTAAGAATAAGCAGATGACAATGTAGAGCTCGGTACCAAGAAAATCAGTGTCATGATGTTTTAATGAGTTACTGACTGACTTTCAACTGACCTTTCATATATTTAGGTAACAAGAAATCAGTTTTCTATTTTTTTGAGCAAACACTCGTGGCATTTAAGGTCATGATTTCGGTCTGGAAATTCAAGCTGAATGAATGATTCTTTAGCGATCATTTATATTTTATGTTAATGTCAGTAATAATAATTTCTTCACATGTACAGATTAACTTATATGAAAAGTACACCATTTTTCCTGGAGCAATCAAAGTTGATATAAAATTTCGGCTAACTGTTATTATTTCGTCGGCTTAAAGTGTCCATTTACAGTATAATCTATCAGAACGTGGTCGTATGAATGTTTACTGTTGAGCCTTCCTCAGGATAGAAGGGAAAACCTAATTTCCTTCCTCCTCCTACTGACGGCTGTATTTAGTCAACGACCAAACAATATTTTGACCAGTCGTACATCCGCTTATTTTGCCATAGTTTTGTAACATTTATCAGGTTCTAGTTGTATGAAGCTGCGATATTATAACACTAATTCACGCATCTTCGCAACTGCCTTATTAAACTCAAAAACAGAAGACTAAGAACAGCAATGGAAAAATTCAGCGTTGGGGGGCACGATAAATTGAAAGAGAAGGTGTTGCCTAGGTATCTGAAAGCAGTGTTCTTAATGCCAACTTATCAAGCGAGGAGATATACAAACACAATTTATTTTATTGTGTTCTCCAGGTAGGGTATTCAAAGTCGGATAAAATCCAACAATGGAGAAATAGACTCATAATCGTGTAACGCTTAACTTGATTTTAGTCGCTTATGATGAGAGTGTTGTAATTTCACTTTGTAAGCAGCTCATCTTCGTTCACAAGGTTACAAGTAGTATTTACATTTACACCTGAACAAAACACATGCCAGCACTCTGCACACTAATTAATCTGGAGACAAGTTTTTGAACCATTCTTCATAGCCTGATATTGGAAGTAATTCGATATCCTTTGACAAGTTTTACGGAATACTTCCGCTTTGTGGTCAGTCCCTGTTCCGGCCTCATAAGACTATTAGCCATTTAACGATAACTCAAAGTCGTATAAGATGTGATAAATTCATCAAAAATTATTAACACTTGCCACTTCTTCATATGAAGTAGATGAAACTTCCCATAGTTGCTCCCGCCTACATTCTGATCAGTGATTTTTCCCACTTTTTTCTATGTATGATATGTTCCTACAGACAGTTCGTTAGCATTTTACTCTGGTAATAAGTTGTTTAAGATCACTACAAATGTATATTTCTGGAACTGGCGTAGAACATGATTCGCACAGCTGAAATCATTAGCCATATAGCGGCCATCGGGTAAACGGCCAGCAAATAGGTGTTTTCGTTTTTAAATATCATTAATCTCGCTTGATAAGCTTCAGGGATTTTCCCCACTGTTGAACTGGAGCGGACGTAACGATAGTGAAATTACGTGAACAAGCCAACTCAGCGTGAAATACAACTGTTCCCCCCGTCAGACATCTCCCTCATTCGTCAGAAAAGACTTCAGCAGACCTAACCCGAAAGGAAAATTTATTAAACAAAACTCCGTTACACACACACATTTTCAGAACATCAAATTCGGGAACGTCTGTGATTAAGCGCCTGGTCGAAAATTCCGTATGAGGCTAGAAGTTCTCAAACCGTGACTGACAACTGCTTACCAACTGAAAACTGCCCGTTAATAATTACTGCTGAAGGCGTGACATTTCTTAAATTGTGTCTACCGGTATATCGGTGACTGGCCTGCAGCCAATAACGCTCCAGACATTGATATCAGTAACCCGGAGAACGTTTTACTCGGACAGTCACCCATATTTAGAAATATAACCATTTCTGAATCACTATACAAATATAAGTATTTTCAATTAATGTCTTGGCCAGAAAAGATTAGCAACAGGGATCTCTGGGAGCGAACCAATCAGGAACCGATTGTGAAACAAATAGGCAGAAAGAAATGGAGATGGATTGGCCATACGTTGAGGAAACCATCAAGTGACATCACTAGACAAGCCATCGCTTGAGTGGAACCCGAAAGGAAGGCGGCGAGTTGGTCGTCCAAGGGTGACTTGGAGGAGGTCATGCGAGGAGGAGATGAAAGCATGTGGACAGACCTGGAGCAGGGTGAAAAAGTTGTCAGAAAACCGAAGGCAATGGAGGTGCTCAGCTGAAGCCCTATGTTCCTCTAGGAACTAAAGGATACAATAATAATAATCATATTATTGTACTTAAAACTTCAGAAAACATTAATAGTCGTGAATGGACATATGTTATGCCTTATGAATTAACATATTAATAATTCAGTTTACTTCATGTAGTTTATATACAAGTGTTTACATAAACTGAAATACAAACATGACGATACTAGAAGTCTGGCAAAATATATCACTGTCATCGGCTGCTCACAACAATGTTTTTTATAAAATCATCTGCAGATATTCGTGATTTCTTTTGAAATGTTGAAATGATGGGAAAATAGTGATGGTTCTCTATTTTGACTTTGCCGAGACTTTCATCCAAGCCCATTGACTTTTGGATCATTGCAAACTAATGTCATCCAGAATAGGTTCCGCGTTAGGGAATTAGTTAACTTAATTTTTAATGAGCCGCACTTAGATTACGGAAATAAGCTTATATATCCTCATTCTGAGAAATACTAATGACAGTTAAAT